AGTATATCATATATTTTCAATCTATCAGCTCAGCTCAGCTAAGCTAGTATATCATATATTTTCAATCTACCAGCTCAGCTAAGCTAGTATATCATATATTTTCAATCTATCAGCTCAGCTCAGCTAGTATATCATATATTTTCAATCTATCAGCTCAGCTCAGCTAGTATATCATATATTTTCAATCTATCAGTTCAGCTCAGCTAGTATATCATATATTTTCAATCTACCAGCTCAGCTCATCTCAGCTAGTATATCATATATTTTCAATCTACCAGCTCAGCTAGTATATCATATATTTTCAATCTATCAGCTCAGCTAGTATATCATATATTTTCAATCTATCAGCTCAGCTCAGCTAGTATATCATATATTTTCAATCTATCAGCTCAGCTCAGCTAGTATATCATATATTTTCAATCTACCAGCTCAGCTCAGCTCAGCTAGTATATCATATATTTTCAATCTATCAGCTCAGCTCAGCTAGTATATCATATATTTTCAATCTACCAGCTCAGCTCAGCTCAGCTAGTATATCATATATTTTCAATCTATCAGCTCAGCTCAGCTCAGCTAGTATATCATATATTTTCAATCTATCAGCTCAGCTCAGCTAGTATATCATATATTTTCAATCTACCAGCTCAGCTCATCTCAGCTAGTATATCATATATTTTCAATCTATCAGCTAAGCTAAGCTAGTATATCATATATTTTCAATCTATCAGCTCAGCTCAGCTAGTATATCATATATTTTCAATCTATCAGCTCAGCTCAGCTAGTATATCATATATTTTCAATCTATCAGCTCAGCTCAGCTAGTATATCATATATTTTCAATCTATCAGCTCAGCTCAGCTCAGCTAGTATATCATATATTTTCAATCTATCAGCTCAGCTCAGCTCAGCTAGTATATCATATATTTTCAATCTACCAGCTCAGCTCAGCTCAGCTAGTATATCATATATTTTCAATCTATCAGTAGTTTTTTCTACCAGGCCACATTTCAAGTAGTGCTAACTTTTGATCATGAGCTTCCACAACCCCCATCTTTCTACTTCAGCATCTCTTTTAACTAGATTGATCCTGATTTTGGTACATTACCTTTTGATTTATACGGTTCTGAAAATGGGTTATTTGCATATTGTCTGTATCTTCGGAGGATTATATCACATGATCTTGGACTTTTTCACCATTAACTTTGATGTTATTCTAATGTACTTGTCATAAGCTTTCTAACAATGTCTTTTTAGTTGTCAATATGCATTGTTGATTTTAGGTGATTTCCATATTTATTATGATGTTTGATAGAGTTCTATTTAACTTAGCTGGAAAATTCGAACAGATTCATAATGCACTTTTTCACATCTATAAATCAATATATCAAATATTATGCATTTTCAAAATTTGAGAAAAAAATTGTAAAAAAATACTATAAATTTAGAGATTATATATATTAGTTAAAATGATTATGTAACATGTCAGGTCACCAGTTCATAGAGGGTTAATGTGAAAATATTATTGTTATCGACTCTTGTGTAAGTTCTAATTCACAGCTTTAAAACAATATATAAATCAATATGTATAAATAAAATGGAGTGAAATTTTTAGAATAAAATTATAGAGTTCAAAAGATTGAGTAACAGGTCAGAAAGTCACCTGGTGTTAATTTCACACCTTTTTAGGTCAGAGTGGATAACCCAAAACTCACTGTTTGAAATGGTTTATTAAAGATATTTTTACAGTCGGAAACATTTCAAAACATTGACGGTCTATTTACCATTCATATTTTACAAAATATAAATACAGAGAATGTAAACTAGCTCGGAAGTTGACAGATATGTGTCAAACAGGTCTAGTTATTATTTATTATTATTTTGTTATTGTTTATTATCATTTATCATTATCATTTATCATTATCATTTATCATTATCATTTATCATTTATCATTTATCATTTATCATTTATCATTTATCATTTATCATTATCATTTATCATTATTATTTATCATTATAATTTATTATACTATGGTTCTGCCTTATTCTATTTTTCATTTTTTACCATTTATTTTTTATTGTTATTATTTATTATTATCATTTAATTATTTAATTATTATTATTATTATTATTATTATTATTATTATTTAATTATTATCATATCATATATTATTATTATTATTATTTTTATTATTATTATTATTATTATTATTATTATTTTTATTATTATTATTATTTATTTAATTATTATTATTATTATTTATTTATTTACTATTATTATTATTATTATTATTTTTATTATTATTATTATTATTATTATTATTATTATTATTTATTATTATCATTATTTATCATTGTTTATTATTATTATTATTTATTATTTATTATTATTTATTATTATTTATTATTATTTATTATTATTTATTATTATTTATTATTATTTATTATACTATGAGTAAATATACAAGATACACTACTAGAGTAAATATACAAAATACAATAGGTTTGTTTCAGTTTCAGAATTCATAATATTCATTTAACAATGCATTTTAAAAAGCCCCCAATCTCTTGTCAACTGGACGGAGTTGTAAGACACAATACTATCATTGTGGAATTCATTTTCCTGGATAGATGCCTATTAAAACACCTTTTAGACATTTGGATATTTAATCATAACAAGTTAAGTAAAAGTAAACAGTGTAAAATCTACGAGTGTGAAACATGACATAACGTAATGAACTATTTGGAAAGATATTTCTTCAAGGTAATACATACTGTATATAGAAAGATCTCAGAGGCCTGGGTATTTCACATCACTCGTTCTTTTATACCCAACACAGTCCCGGGTTCAATTTCTGACATTTTCTTATTTGGAATAGAGTTGAGTTTTTGGTTTATGGGAGAAACTCGGCATCAACAACTCACTCGAAATTCAAATTCAAAAATTCAAAAACATGTCGTATTTGAGTTTCCGCATATATCATATATTTTCTATTTAAAAAGTGTTGTTAAAATATGTCACTAACGATGTATTTTGTTCTATAGATCAGTATATTACATACAGTTGACAGACAGAATTAATGATAGTTATGAAATTCAATCTATAAGTTCTGCTAGTGTAGCAATTATTTCAATTTTTCTACTTTTCAAGTTTTAAATTAATCAATAGACGTGGATATAATCCTTGCTGTTTATATTATTTATTGTATTACGAAATGCGAAAATAAACATTTCTTTGTGATGCAAGTAGCCACACCACCCTCCAGACATATTCATGGGGGGTTATGATGGCATGACTGAACTACAAAAATATCCATTATTCTGAATATATTTGGGTTTGGCTGGTTCGATTTAAATAAATTGGTTTAAAGGCCTAGTTTTTCTTTCTTTACACTACAGTCAACAACTTTCACAATATCTATCAGAGGTTAGAATGGAAGTAGATCTTTCGTTCTACACTCCTACCTACACCATGGTGAGCCAATTTCTTTGACCAATTTTTCCTGTGACTAGATAAATCAAGTCCAAACCGTTAAACTAAGCCAGAAATCCAAAACAATATATACATTGGTAGCTACTAATGAAATTTGCACATGACGAAGTACATCAATCATAAATGAGTTATTAAATACAATTATATAATTAGAACCCCACACAAACACAAACACAAATATTCTACAATTTCATTGGTTTTATAATAAATTGATGTGGATTTATTGGCATCCCTTACAAGAATCAAATCTTTAATACATCCAGTAATTTACAAGTCGTCAGATCTCTGTGATTTGAGGTAATTTGTATTAATTAATGTTATTAGTTCTTTCAGTTTCATTTAAATAATATTTACCAATATTATATTTATCATAAATTAGGTTAACATTGTTACATGATTTTCTACCAGTAATAACTAACTTACTACATTAACAAGTACATACGTTTTCATTAATGAAACAAGGTTTTAAAAATTTCAAGAATCTTTTTTAAATTTGTTCATCAATATTTTTACATCATTATTAATGAATTGGGATTACGACTGGGAATATTCTAAACACTAAACAGGATGAACCCTATTGAAAGTCAGAAAAATCGAAAATGTTATGGCCCTTGTTCTTGAAAACGCGTTAAATTTTAGCTTGTAAACACTCTAGATGGTTCAAGTTTTGACAGATTTGAGGAAACTTGCTGTATTGCTTGTTGATATCACGCAATGATGTCTCGATTAAAAATAAGAAGAATCGAAAAATATTGAGTATTTATTAAGTTATTGTCCTTGTTCAATTTTTAACACTAAAAGGCACGATTGTTGCCAAAATACTCATTTTGCAAAAGTGCACAGAACTATTATTAATCTCATTTTCATACATTTAACATGTAGAATATTTTGGTGCAATATTGAACCTTTCGTTAAAAAGTTGTGTTATATTAAAACAATATGCCTGATATCAATCAGTCGTCTGCTGATATGAAATATTAATTTACAGTTATCATAGAAGCATCTGTTCAGTGGGAGACTTTGAATTTACTATAAATCAGTTTTCAAATTCAGCATTCAACAGTATATCAACAAGTCTCGATATTGATACGTAAGAATGAAAAACTTCTTTTGTTCCGTATTGTTTTTCTCCGTAATAACTCTTATAGATGCCGGTAAATATTCTTATTTATTATTTAAAAGTTCTACTCTGCTTTGAATTTAAAGTTAAATTGTGCAGATCTGGATGTAATTTAAGTTAGCTTTTTATTTGTTGGAGGAGAACGAGTCACAGGAACTCCGGTTTATTCAAAGCCTTTCTTTACAGGCCTAAACAAATATTCAGATATATTTAACTGTAAAAAGTCATTCAACATGTAAATTTTGAGACTATTAATTGTCGAGTTGATGCGAGTTGTCGAGTCTGAAGTATATAATGGAAACGAATAATATAAAAATTCAAATTACAGATTGCTCGACTTTTCCCAATGTAACTAACTCTGAGCTTAATACAGACTGTGGAAATGTAGAGATGGAATGTAAAAAAGGCTTTGAGATGGTACAAGGGCTGGAATGTATTGAAGGAGAATGGATATATCAAACCCCAATATGTAAACCCACAGGTAAGATAATTAATTTTAATACTTGAATTACATTACACATAAACAATATAAGCTTTGTGGACTCACTTAAAGGGATGCCGAGTTGACAAATTTTTATAGTCCTCTTAATATTGTACATTGATAGCAATTTCTATCTATACTCTATCTGGACTTTATATATTGTTAAATATTCTCTATATACATATATTGTTCAGTTTTAGGTTTAACAGAGCCAGACTTGTCATTATATTCTACTTCTATTTCAGAGGCGAAAGATTGTGGATCTAAACCACTTGATGTAATTTTTGTTGTGGACCAATCAGCATCAGTTGGTCCTGATAATTTCTCCAAAATGATAAATTCTATAGTAGAATTCACATCATCAAGTTTGGTTGTTGACCCCACGACAGTAAATGTTGGTTTTATAGCTGTTGCTTTCCGTAGCATAGATGTAATACATCTGTTAAATGACCAGAATGATGTGCTAAAAGAAATCGGTTTATTTGAAATGGATCAAGGTAGCTCTGTTACTTTCAAAGATAGTTTTAATGAAGCTATCTACGATTTTAATGAAAATGGTCGATCCGAAGTCCCGAATGTTATGATACTCCTGGCTGGTGGAAAATCGACTGATAATCCTCAGCCTAATGCGAATGTTGCCAAAGAATCCGGGGTTGATATCTTTACCATAGGAATTGGCCAGAGTGTCGATAAGGCTGAGCTGAGGGAAATGGCTTCCGTACCTTCTAAAGCTAGATTTGTTGACACGTTTGATGAAATTGGGGAAGCACTTGATGATCTTCTTAACGATCTATGTTAATGACGTATATTCAGTATATATATATGTATTTCTATTGTTTTAATGTCAATAAATTATAATGCAGTTTTGTTGTGTTATTAATTATTTTAGCACCTATGGGTCAGGGTTGATGATCAACACTATACTGTACTACCCATGTTTAATATAAAACGTATTGAAAAAAAATATACTCAACTATTCAATATCTTATTTATGAGCAAACTATATATAATATTTTCTGATTTAATAGTTATAGAAGTGATTAAAACTTTAATCCTATATTCAGGCGCCAACAGATTACTCACCCACGGTTGTTAGAACAGGACAACCCACACGTCATATCGACTTGCTATGCATCTGGTTAACAAAAACAATCTAAAGTGAGTTGGCCAACTCTTGCAATTTTACGAGTAAATTATGTTTCACTATTAGCAATATAAACCCTGTGAAAATCGAGACAACATATCAGAAACTAACACAAACTAAACCGTAAGTAGAAAACTTTGTTATGATTTGTTGGTCATTGGGATGGACTTCAGGGGAAAGATGTTCTTGCTGTATATAGACAATGACTATCTCTACGTGTTTCCCAAACATCGGTTCACTATCATTTAGGCAATCGGCTCAACCTTCGCCAATCTTGATATGAAGAGTTTTTCAATAGTTAATTGTATATTTATGAATAATTACTAAGTTTTTTGGATTTATTGGATTATATAAGGATCCTGTTTTGTTATTTATGACACCAGGTATATCTACTGGCTCTTGTTGGCCAATTTTAAAATTCTTAAATTTTATGTTAATTCTAAGACGTAGTATCACTTTAAAGCGGAATCTGAAGATCGAGAAGAGGAAGCTTCTTTTGTTAATCCAATAGAAATCACAACTAGATCTGGAAGGAGAAGTAGGACTCCAAACAGATTATACGTGATGAACTAAATAATTAAATAATACGTTAACGTAACTGTATTTATCATGTTGCTATCTTTGTGTCTGTTATAGAATATACAGTTTAAACTTAACATTGATGAGATGGATTACGAGATATATGATGAAGAATTTTTGTCATGATCACATCATCATTTATCGTCCACATGAGGAATCGGTGGCTGCCTCAGTACCAGCAACAAGGTCCAGCAGGCCTAGAAGATGTGGGCATATCAAACAGAGTCTAACGGATGGGCGAGAAAGTGCAAATCATTTCTTGAAGGATTGGCAAGGGAATTAAACCTACCATCCGTAATTGAGTTGAAATACTATGTTACAAGATACCATCTCTTTCCATCAAGTTACAGTTATATTCAGAACCCAACCCGATTAGAATTCACCGCAGATGAAAGGGTTGGCTGGTGTTCCTATTCCGAGCGTTTCATAGGACCCTGCCAAGAGATTATTTGTCGATTACGCCACCTAACAGAGTCTTCGCTCATGCATTGGAGGATACTAGCCAACCTCCTGTCCATCTGTGCCAGATCATACCAAGAATATGTGGCTAATTTATAAATTCTGTATATTTTTGCAGGTACAGTTTAAGAAGGCCTTAGAGCTTTCTCTTGTTATACTTGCCAACTACCGGAATATAGTTAGTCGATAGAATATTCAGCTCTCAGCTAAAACAAGAAGGGGACGAGTGTTACAGGAGTTGATCTCCCTTGTTTACAGTCTTGATTGTCCAGCCAGATATTTGTACAACTTCCGAGTCAACATCGACAGTCTCCGTTGGTTCACGAATACTGGAATTAGAACAGACCAAATGCGGGCAATAGTTTGCCATGCGCTCCACCAATCAGCAGCCGGTGTCTGGTTTTATGAACAAACCACGCGTACAGATCGACACAACAGATTTGGTAGCTACTCTGAATGTACGACCGCTTTATTTTATATACTTTGTATTTATGTGATTTGTAATTACTTGTATATAAAGCTCTATTTAGAATGCTTATTATTTCCACCACATACTTTAGAGTAAGCTCCTCTGCTTTATAGAGATTATGTTATAATACACTGGAATATTGTATACAAGCACTGTATAAACACTAGGAGATATTAAATTGGTGGTACTTCAATACACACCATATACAATCTAGATGACAGTATAAACCATCCTACATAATACAAAATACTACAACAGAATGACCATACAGGTCAGACAGAAAACAACTCAGATGGTCACTACAACAGAATGACCATACAGGTCAGACAGAAAACAACTCAGATGGTCACTACAACAGAATGACCATACAGGTCAGACAGAAAACAACTCAGATGGTCACTACAACAGAATGACCATACAGGTCAGACAGAAAACATCTCAGATGGTCACTACAACAGAATGACCATACAGATCAGACAGAAAACAACTCAGATGGTCACTACAACAGAATGACCATACAGGTCAGACAGAACACATCTCAGATGGTCACTACAACAGAATGACCATACAGGTCAGACAGAAAACAACTCAGATGGTCACTACAAAAGCTCATAAAGGACAAGGTAAAAGGTTAAGATGAATAGAACTCAGAAACAGAGAAGATTAGTAAAGAGATAGTAAAGATGTAGTAAAGAGATAGTAAAGATGTAGTAAAGAGATAGTAAAGATGTAGTAAAGAGATAGTAAAGAGATAGTAAAGATGTAGTAAAGAGATAGTAAAGATGTAGTAAAGATATAGTAAAGAGATAGTAAAGATATAGTAAAGAGATAGTAAAGAGATAGTAAAGAGATAGTAAAGTGATAGTAAAGATATAGTAAAGAGATAGTAAAGATGTAGTAAAGAGATAGTAAAGATATAGTAAAGAGATAGTAAAGTGATAGTAAAGAGATAGTAAAGAGATAGTAAAGATATAGTAAAGATATGGTCAAGAGATAGTAAAGATATAGTCAAGATATAGTCAAGAGATAGTCAAGAGATAGTCCAGAGATAGTCAAGATATAATCAAGATATAATCAAGATATAGTAGAGTAGAAAAGACAGTGAAATGTAATTATTAATTAATACTGTGAACTGAATACAATTAATTATAATTAATACAACAGAAGTTTGACGATTTTGACGATTTTGACGACTATCAGAGACAAATTAATCAAAGTATTCAAGATTTTATTTCAATGTTTGATCTCAAGTACAGGACTTGTATCTGCAATTGAATAAGGGGCTGGGAAATACCCAGTATTTTACCTGAGAAACAGGTATAAAACTATTGTATAGCTGTATATATCATAAATAATTTATAATTCTTTCAGAACGTGACAGTAGAATTATAACTCTGGGTCAGGTCGACTGTTGTTATATATATCAATATATCTATATTGATATACAGGTATTGTCAGGTAAGTCTATAATATATCTATATAGTGATATTGATTAAAGGAATCGTCAGGTAAGTATGTTCTTACTAACAATATCGATCTCTGACCAGGTTGATTTTAGTTGACTTTTACTTTGCTTGTTCTGAATCAAACATTTTAGATTTCGGGAAGGGAGGGTTTGATTTCGGGGAAGGGAGGGTTTGATTTCGGGGAAGGGAGGCTTTGATTTCGGGGAAGGAAGGGTTTGATTTCGGGGAAGGGAGGGTTTGATTTCGGGGAAGGGAGGTTTTGATTCTCCCAAATTAGGCCAAGGACGGAACAAATACTTTATTAAGAAATTGAGATAAGCTGTCCGGTACTGTTGGATATTTTTACTCGGGCTCTGATCTGTAATTAGATGGGTTCGCATTCTTGTTGTTAAATTGAATTGTACTGTCTTATTGGAATATTAGCTTCAAAACAGAACTTAATTGGAGAATTATTTGTTGATAGATTTGTCAAGTTTTGAAACATATTTTCATCCTAGAAATGTCAACTCGTCAGCTGAAAATGAGTTTTAAGACATTTTTTATCATCAAGTATGACCCTGACTTCTCTAAGTTTTATAAAGTTGTTATTTTGATAAAAGTATAGTATGTTATAATTGGATTATTGATGCGTTTCATACAAACAAATAATAGCGGCGACATACTTGTATTGAAGAGTATTTAATTATAATATTAAAGGCGAGAGGACATTGGTAAAAAAATATAACCAAATGATAAAACAAAAACTATTGATTCTAAATGAAATATTTAAACTGAATATGAACAAAAAGTTCAATACACTGGGAAACAGGGGTAACAACAATTTCGGTTCTTTTAAAAAGTTTCAGTTTCTGAGTCTAAGATACGATTGATCAAACAGATGATGATCATGTCCCTGTAAATATTTATTATACAACCGACCAGTGATATGTATATTGTATTACTTAACTCTCAATATAATACTAATCCTCATATAAAGAGCTAGTCGAGATTTACTGTCTCGTAAAGGAAAAGTAGGGCGTAAACAGGACAACAATCGACATTCATTTTAGGTCTTGAATAAACAGGTATGTAAGTAGTCTGTAGAAGTAGGAAATCGGATAACTCCTTTAGAAACAGGGACCAAAATCATCCAGACTTGGATTAGCAGGTAAGTCAGTAACAAAATAGATAGTCAAACAGAAAATCAGATTGATACAAACTAAAAGTACCATCTACATGAGAAGAAAATAATATTTATTGTTACTTAAATTCTTTAAACATCAAGAGAGATGACTTACAGTGGCGGCTGCAAAACTTTTCATTGGGAGGGGGCATCGTCCATTCTGGGTTGAGACAGGTGGAGGGGGGTGGGGGGGGGGGGGTGAAATTACAGTGACTAAATGTTGTATTGTATGCGATTTGAAGGAATATCACATTCTTACAATTCTTCTTTATGAATGAGAAGGGGGTATGACCACGCCCTCAATCCCCACTCCGCCATGACTTGCAGTTTTCTATTGACTGTACAGGCTATACAGGAATTACAATTTGATCTGACCTATTGAAGGAAGTATAATACTGTTTAGATGTTGTGTTTCGGTGACTCTAGTTTTCTATTGAAATTTTTCTATTCATTGGTGAATCACAACTTTATTTCAGTTACAATGTGTAAAAGAATTTACCTGTAATATAATCTGTAGTGTCAAATTTATTAGAATTCAGTAACGCGGAGAAAATTAAACACATTAACAAATATTCATCTTTACTTGATATAGATTTCTCTCACGTCAGGTAATAAATATACCAAATAAACAATATCAAGATATATTAAATATATAATTTAGCCATTTTTAGTCATAGGCGCTGTCCTAGCACGTCTGTAAGTATACAATTTATAATCTCAAACTTGGTCAATACGAGTATATATTCATCAGTTGACTTACCTGGTGTCATGACTAAACAATAGAATCCCTCTATAATCCAACAATTCCATAAAACAAGTTATTATTCTTAAAACTACAGTTTGATATTTTGAAACTTGGTCAATAAGAGTATATTAGTTAGGTGTCATGACTAAACAATAGAATCCTTGTATAATACAAAACATCTTAAAAACAAACTTGATATAGAAGCCAGAAAATCTGCTACTATTCTGACCCGCTTTAAGGTAAGAACTTTGAAATAATAATATTGTAATGATTATAAAATTAGAGAAATAAAAAACTATTTCAGGTTTTGAAACCCCAACTAAACTAAAATGTGGAGAAATGGTCTATTTTTAATAATCTGTATTGTGGTGTTGGCTGAAGTTTCTTCAAACAAATGGCTATTTGGTCAGTATGATTGTATTTTAAAGGGAGACTCGGTTGGAATTGCTCGAATCTGATATAGATATAAAAAAAAATCCGAAACAAGACAATTCGGTTTATCAACATCACGCCACAGGATGTCTAAATTGAGAGCAATAATTGTATACTAGTGGACTCCTCTATTCGAATTATAACGACTTATTGCAACTATTCGCATCTAGGAAAATCTAAGATCAATGATGTCTGACAATTTCAGTTGCCATCAGTTGCTATCAGTTGTCATCAGTTACTATCAGTTGTCATCAGTCGCTATCAGTTGTCATCAGTCGCTGTCAGTTGCTATCAGTTGTCATCAGTTCCTATTAGTTGCCATCAGATGCTATCAGTTGTCATCAGTTACTATCAGTTGTCATCAGTCGCTCTCAGTTGTCATCAGTTACTATCAGTTGTCATCAGTCGCTATCAGTTGTCATCAGTCGCTATCAGTTGCAATCAGTTGCTATCAGTTGTCATCAGTTCCTATTAGTTGCCATCAGATGCTATCAGTTGTCACTGGTTGCTATCAGTTGCTATTAGTTGCCATCAGATGCTATCAGTTGCCATCAGATGCTATTAGTTGCCATCAGATGCTATCAGTTGCCATCAGATGCTATCAGATGCTATCAGTTGTCATCAGTTGCCTATGATCTATTTTGCATGGTAATTGTTGTCGCTATGAGCAGTGGAAACTATCTAATTCATCATAATAGCTTGCAGTCTGTCAGTTTTTCAGTAGGAGCGATGCATCTGATGTGATGGTTAGATTCGCCAGTCGATGTAAGGATCTTGTTAATTCGAATTTCACAGAAAATTATCCATTTCACTTCGATACTGGGCCATCGCCCTTCGTTAGTTGTCACAAAGATGCCTACTATATAACTCAGTCAAATGGCCTGGTCTTGTATACTAACAAATACTTAAATAATGACTTTAGGGCTTCATGTATCTCGGCTCTGGTGTATATCGAAATCATCCTCGTGATCAGCGACTGTGGCTGCTTCAAACAATGGTTTCTATAAATTCCAATTTGTGACAGAGTTTGTCAAACTTTCAGAGAGTCCACATAGCTAATATATAATGTTTATTTGGTAAGAATATATCTTATTTCAGATGATGCAAAGAAGAGCTCAGCGTGTGTTGGCGCCAAAACTCTCGCCTGCACCAAACACAGACTGACATGTCCACAAAACCAACAGATCAAAATCAACTCGGCTTTTTATGGATTCATCAAAACCAAGCATGGATGTCCTACAAGCAGAACTACTTGTAGTTTACAGAATGACTGTGGATGTGAGTGGTATCACGGTGACTGTGGGATTCTATACAACAGGATGGATGAAGCGGAGGTAATGAGATGTAGCGGTCAAAGGTCATGTAGTCCGAGAAGTGCGACTTCCAGTGATAATTCAAATTGTCATATACACCTATGGAGAAATAGGAAATATCATCCGAAGAATTCCTACACAGAGATTGACTATGAATGTATAAAAGGTAAAACCTGGTTTTTGCCTGTTGTCTTTAAAATCACAAAAGAGAAATGATCTCTGGTTTACTTTATCCAATTAGCTTTGTATGGTGCGATTCATTCGGTTCATTTGTTTGTTTACAAAAAAGTAACAAAATGTCACGAGCAAGAGTTTCGATTAACAGATTTGAAAATCATGTGACGTCATGAATATTTATTACTAATATGAGGTCAACCTGCTGAAGTGAAACACGGTATCTATAGGTAATTGTTGCGGAGGTGCTGATGGAGACAGTGCTCTTGACCTAGATATTTTTAATGAAGAAAAGAAGATAAAAGGAAATGATACCACTTTTTAAAAAAAAAATCCCCGTTGCCCACCTTGACAAGAATCAGATAAGTATGAGGGACAACTTCCTTTTAATCTGTATCTTATATATTTTCTGTTACAGCTCAAAGAATAGACCCAACTGAACCAAATATTATAAAAGGGTCTCAGATAGTTTTAAACGCATCTAAAGATTATACATATACTTATACTGTTAGTGGGAGTAGATGGTGGAAACCGGTCTTCTTCTACCAAACCAATCGGCAACTTAAACCTTTCTTTCTCCATAATCAACCGACACATGCCGGTGTAGAGTATATACTAAAGGGAAAGATTGAGTTCACTATTCAATCTAACACCGATACGCTCATAGTTCTTACAGGTTTGTCAACTCTTTAATTCTATTCTTAAAAAAATACTCCCTCTTAGAATTTAAAGTCTCAAACTTGGTCAATAAGAGTATATATTCAACAGTTGGACTTACCAGGTACTAAAGAATAGAACCTCAATATGGTCGGAGAGCAAATCTTAATCTCAATTTAAATCGCCACCCCACCCAACTCCCCCCACCCCCCTCTTGGGGTGTGGGACTAGGATGTCGGGGATGTGGCCAACTGGTGTAAAAGAATAATTTATTTTGAATTGAGAGAGCACTTCACATCACCACATGCTGGAAATGTGGGTGAAACACATTTTGGGGGTGTGAAGGGTCCTGGTGATTGCTCCAGGGGTGTGAAGGCTGAAATAGGTTGGGAAACACTGGTATAAATGGATGATTTTAAAACTTCTAAAATATTCGACTTATCTGATACGTTATCTCATATTCTTTGAAAAATAAAGCTCAGAATTGGGGATATATTGTAATATTATTGATTAAAAAATCAGTTTATGGGCTTGGCCAATCGGATGCCGAGAAACATTTCAATTTTTCTTTGACAATTTCAGCTAAAAGTTGGCATCAACCGGATGTTAAAGTCAGTTTTACCCGCATTGAAACAGGTAAATATTGAACTATGTTTTATCTCTAGAGTAAATATTGAACTATGTTTTATCTCTAGAGTAAATATTGAACTATGTTTTATCTCTAGAGTAAATATTGAACTATGTTTTATCTCTAGAGTAAGAGTAAATATTGAACTATGTTTTATCTCTAGAGTAAATATTGAACTATGTTTTATCTCTAGAGTAAATATTGAATTATGTTTTATCTCTAGTGTAAATATTGAACTATGTTTTATCTCTAGAGTAAATATTGAACTATGTTTTATCTCTAGTGTAAATATTGAACTATGTTTTATCTCTAGAGTAAATATTGAACTATGTTTTATCTCTAGTGTAAATATTGAACTATGTTTTATCTCTAGAGTAAATATTGAACTATGTTTTATCTCTAGTGTAAATATTGAACTATGTTTTATCTCTAGAGTAAATATTGAGCTATGTTTTATCTCTAGTGTAAATATTGAACTATGTTTTATCTCTAGAGTAAATATTGAACTATGTTTTATCTCTAGTGTAAATATTGAACTATGTTTTATCTCTAGAGTAAATATTGAACTATGTTTTATCTCTAGTGTAAATATTGAACTATGTTTTATCTCTAGTGTAAATATTGAACTATGTTTTATCTCTAGAGTAAATATTGAACTATGTTTTGTCTCTAGAGTAAATATTGAACTATGTTTTATCTCTAGAGTAAATATTGAACTATGTTTTATCTCTAGAGTAAATATTGAACTATGTTTTATCTCTAGAGTAAATATTGAACTATGTTTTATCTCTAGAGTAAATATTGAACTATGTTTTATCTCTAGAGTAAATATTGAACTATGTTTTATCTCTAGAGTAAATATTGAACTATGTTTTATCTCTAGAGTAAGAGTAAATATTGAACTATGTTTTATCTCTAGAGTAAATATTGAACTATGTTTTATCTCTAGAGTAAATATTGAACTATGTTTTATCTCTAGAGTAAATATTGAACTATGTTTTATCTCTAGTGTAAATATTAAACTATGTTTTATCTCTAGTGTAAATATTAAACTATGTTTTATCTCTAGAGTAAATATTGAACTATGTTTTATCTCTAGAGTAAATATTAAACTATGTTTTATCTCTAGAGTAAATATTGAACTATGTTTTATCTCTAGAGTAAATATTGAACTATGTTTTATCTCTAGAGTAAATATTGAACTATGTATTATCTCTAGAGTAAATATTGAACTATGTTTTATCTCTAGAGTAAATATTGAACTATGTTTTATCTCTAGAGTAAATATTAAACTATGTTTTATCTCTAGAGTAAATATTGAACTATGTTTTATCTCTAGAGTAAATATTGAACTATGTTTTATCTCTAGAGTAAATATTGAACTATGTATTATCTCTAGAGTAAATATTGAACTATGTTTTATCTCTAGAGTAAATATTGAACTATGTTTTATCTCTAGAGTAAATATTGAAGTATGTTTTATCTCTAGAGTAAATATTTACAAAGGGTGTCGCTTTATTACCAGACGTGTATCTTGTATCATTAATTCCAATCCCACGTAAAAAATCAAATTTTTCCACTTTTAAGTGATTACATCTCCCGTAATAGAGCAAAAATTGGAACGTGTCTTTCTATTGTAGACAAACAACAAACTTCGACAAAAACAACACATCAACGTCCGCATCCGACCATGAAACCAACGACTCCAAAACGTTTTAAATCTACGTCGACATCCATCCGCCCGAGACCTGAAACCAGAATGACTACAAAAGCGTCCTATATGAAGACTAAAACGACAACAAAGGCGTTCGATATGAAGACTAAAACGACCACACAAGCGTTCAATGTGAAGACCAAAACGACAACACAGGCGTTCGATATGGAAGAAGTGACGAGAAATATTGAAGATGGGATTGTTAGAGAAGAGACAAATGATAAAATGCGACCACAGGCAAGCGTAGCAGATCTTAGAGGGTTAAAAGGAGGTATGAAGCCAGAAATACATGTTTCTTACAGCCGACGTCAAAATTTGCAAAACTCACACTTTGCAAATCAATTCAACGCTGTTATCGTATAATTGCGAATGTAATGCGCACCATTCTTCCCCCCGAGTAAAATCTATAGTATCGTATATTGTATCCACTTCCCAAGATTGGCGCACGTACAGTATAATTCCGACCATAATGCGCACTTTTTCATTCTCGAGAATATCTATACCATTGTACAGCAGGGTGCTCTCTCGTATTCGCCTTTCAGGGGCCTACCGTTATGTTTTATGTACCGTAAAATTTCGAATACCATGCGCACCATTTTTTGAAATTTTCCTGGATTTATCAAATCTCTATGACTGTATATTTTGTGTTATAGGTTTAATCGGAGGAGTTGTTGTTGGAATTGTGGCTGTGATAATCATTCTTCTCATCGTGGGTCTGCTAATCTGTAAACGGTAAGGTGATACTTTATAAATATCGCTCTAAATCACTATTTAAAAGGGGCATTCCGCTTTTTTTTGTAGGTCGAAAACTTTTTTTGCTCAAATTTGTGTAAACTATACACCAAAATCTATAGAATTGTGTCACTTAACGTATCTGAAAGTTGAAATTAAAAAAATAGGCTACAGTCGTTAATTTTTAACACCAAAATTATTTTATAAGTTTTCTTAAATTTTTTAAGTTTGTTGTGCTTTTAAAAGGCTGTTAGAAACCTGCTGTACATATTTTAGTAAAAAGTTTCTTACGTATTCTAATGATTTCAACTAATAATATCGAGCCATTATAAAACCAAACACCAAAACTAGGTCAAACTGTTAATTAACAATTAGTGCTCTCTGTTTTTTAAAACAAATCCAGTTTGATCAAGTAAGCTATAGATAGTAGAGAATACACCTTGATGGAAGAGAACGACTTTATCCAAAATAATTATAATTTATGCTAGACTACAAAGCGCCCTATTACACCTCAAAAATTTCGAAATTACTCCCCAGGTTGAAAATCACTGTTCTATTGAATAGTTACTTGTCACTGTGAACAATTTGAAATATATTTTGTTTTATTTACAGACGAAGACAGAAGATGGAGAAGCCAGTTGTAGTGGATAAAGGCATCAGTAATCCTGCTTACCAAGTCTGTTACATCAACCCAAAATTACAGGGACCGCCGCCAGCCTATGAAGAGATCAACCCAAGGAACGATTACCCTCGTGTCCATTCGAGCCATACAGCAGACGACTACGCCAACATACATGACACCAACCAGAAAAATGCCGTCAAAGATGAGGAATTTCGACCTTTAGCTGGTTTGAATGTAAAAGAATTTGAGAATCAGAAATTGGATGAAGAAAAATAATAACATATCTTCATTAAAACAGTGATCAATTCATCAATTTTTGAGCGTTATAGTTCAGTTGTCTGAAGATTACAGAGAGAGTAATAACAAGTTCTGTGTTAAAGGGACAGATGCGCCACGTTAGGAGTTGATTTTGGTCTTGAATATATGTAAATAGTCTTCAGAAGTACTAGTAATGTACGAAAATCACATAATTCCTTTAAAAATATCTCGACTAAGAATTTCACCTTCTATTTCTATATATATCTTTTCTATATATCACAGAGTATATTAAAATGACGAGTCGTTAAAGGCTTGAATTTCAACGGTGAGCTGTGATCACCATTACTGGCTATATACTGACTATTACACTATATGACCAGTGGTTTCATTGAGACTTGTCTCAATACACCTAACACTATATTGGCTAAGCTATAAAAATCCCGTTTCTAAGACTTAAGTATGATTGGTTTAAACAAAAATGGCTCATCTGTCCCTTTAATATTTCTAACATTGAACTATGTAAATATCTAATATATAATATATAATATAATTCCATTCACTCTTCTTCAAAATTTAGGCCCTGTTTAAAAATTATGATCATTCTATTCTGAATTAATTTCAATTGTAAAATTAATAGGCCTTATGGATCTGAAATTGAAATATATATTTTAAAAATTTGTGAATCGAAAGAAGAAATTCGAAGCTCGGTCTAATTGTAGAGTAAAATATTATAACAGTATTATTTTCATTCAGTATTTTAATTCGATTGGTAATTCACGCAATTTTACTCTTCTTTATCTGTGCAACACCAAGTGCTGTTTTTTTTTTATAAGATTTAGTTTTACTTAATATTACTAATATTTATACTATTTTTCGAATATTAATTCTGTTTTTTTATATTAGAATTAGTTTTAATTAATATCACTAATATTTGAAGTATTATTTTTGAATATTAGTGCTGTGTTTTTTTATATTAGAATTAGTTTTAATTAATATCACCAATATTTGAAGTATTATTTTTGAATATTAATTCTGTTTTTTTATATTAGAATTAGTTTTAATTAATATCACCAATATTTGAAGTATTATTTTTGAATATTAGTGCTGTGTTTTTTTATATTAGAATTAGTTTTAATTAATATCACCAATATTTGAAGTATTATTTTTGAATATTAGTGCTGTGTTTTTTTATATTAGATTTTGTTTTAATTAATGTTACTAATATATAAAGATACTATTTTAACCTGTGTAACTTGCGATATCAGCATCCGCTGGAAGCGAACGTTAACTTGTCATCTACCTACCTACCTGTGTAACCCGAAGTTCATTGCAATATATTGTACAGGAATCGCCATAGTGTTTCCCTTCAAATGACGCAATATCTATTTTTAGTATCAGAGCTACAAATTATTTCATCCAGTTTGTGAATCTATATTTTATAGTAAGTGGCTACTGCATAATTCTTTTTTTTACATGTATCATAATAAAACAACTAATTATTATTCATGAAATATTGTTATGAGTAGAATATTTTATTTTAAAGAAACTATTTCGTCTTGCGAATATCTTTAATTACACGATTTGACCGAGTGTATTCATAGACAACAAGGACCAATTTTTTTATAGACAACTTGGACCACTTTTTAGAAGTCTTAGAAAACCTCTTTTGGGGTGTGTTATAAATTTGAATTACAGACAAACCCCTTGTATCAACTTTAAGACCAAATTTTCATAAGGCTCGGATACTCAAGCAAATATTCGGTAGGGTTATAGGAAGATGCCTCATCGGGATAAGGTTAATCATCAGATGTCGTTTTAATCAGTCCTCGTTAGACTCGTAATCTCCACAGTGGCAGAGCCAAAGGTGGAGCAGGGGAGGTAGACCCTCGGACGTAAACCTGGCTCCGCCACTGAATCCCCACCTTTTGAAATTATTACTAACGTTTGTATCAGATTTCATCTAATATTTAGAAATGCGTGTCGTAATTATTTAAATTTGATTGAAAAAACAATATTTATATCAGATTTCTAGACAGTAGTGTCCTTGAGACGTATCAGTCTGACTTGTTTTAAACATTTTTTGTTCACCTGTTTTACAAATCAAGGTATGATAATGTCGACCTGTTATTATCATCAGAGCGAGACGTAATTTGACAGATCCCTTTTCATTATCAAAATAAGTAAAGTAATTGCTATATAAAGTTATTATTAACAGATAGCCATTTACCTATTTTATATAACATGATCATTTTATTTATCAAAATCGACGCTGTATATATTTTTTTTCTTCGAAATCGATTTCTTAGGGGGTGCGTAATCCTCCACGTTACCCTATAAATTATTACTTAAATTATATTTTATTTTAAAATGATATTGCGTCTTAAAATGAACATGAAATTTAAGTTCTCAAGAATGGTCAATATCAGTTAGTTTACCTGGATAATTACTAAGTTTTTTGGATTTATTGGATTATATCAGGATCCTGTAATGTTATTTATGACACCAGATATATCTACTGATGAATATATGCTCTTATTGGCCAAGTTTAAAAGTTTTAAATATTATGTTCATTCTAAGACGTAGTCTCCCTTTAAATAAAAAGTATGTTTTATTCTTCGAGTCTATTTAATTACATTACAACCGCCCGGATCATAGTCTACTTTAAAACATTCTTTTTCCTCTTGTCAAATTAAATACAAAATTTGTAATTTTCTTATAAAAGAGATGTGAAAACTATATCAAATCACAGTTACCTGTATATCGAACTCGTACTTAGACAAAATTTTAGAATAGTCTGATCGTCTAAATTTTGAAATATTTAACTGTAGTCTGGGAGATAATATCGAGTAACGTCCCTTGATCTAGAAATCACCACCAGGTAGAGGCACTCAGTTCCGCCATTTCCTTAACTTGTTTATTTGTTGTCAAGAAATGAAAAAACGTCAAATTTTACAATTGTTTTGAATAAATTTCAAGACTACGTCATGGTAAGATGCAATTTCTCATTCTTTCTGTTCGTTTTGGCGGTGTTTTGAAAAAATGGTCTGGAAAAGAAAGTCAGGAATGCGCATTGAATGTATCTGCGAAGTGCTGATGTGTTATTTTTAGAACTGAACTAGCCTGAGTCTGGTTCCGGTCAGTGTATTGACCGAGTTGCTTAGATTTACATCCTAAATCTAAATTATTTACATCCTAAATCTGAATTCAGACAGAAAAAGGACCCATAAAGGCATGATATATTATATTATATTTAACTCATTTCTTAAATAACAAAGCATATAACTTTCAACACTACTTTCATCTGATTGTTTCTGATAGTGATGTAGTGATCATGATGCAGTTGAATGGGCTAATATAAGCCTTAGCCAGTTTGAAGTTTCATATTGCACAAACATGTAATTCAAAGAGTTTATTATAGATAAAACAGAGTTATGCAAATGATGCAAAATGGATAACTTAGGAAAAATGTTGTTGTTAACAATATCAAACATCGGTCATAAATTCCTAATGCACATATCTCTTCTTCCTGCGTGTTCATGTGGTCATATCTTTGAAGACTCTGAGCATTATCTTTTGTATTGTAACAACCACTCCACTGTTCGAAATCAAACAATCAACCTCCTACCCCCAACTTACAGATCATCGTCCGTATTATTATACGGCAACCCTGATATATCCCAGGATATGAATAAGTTTATATTCAATACTGTTCATTCATACATCAGTCTGTCAAAGAGATTTGACGATTGAACTGATATATATACCCTCACACACAGGAACAACAGACAATATCTTAGTCCGAAATACCTGCCCCTGTTACGGCCTCTGGGGACTTCAGTTGGAAACTGCCAGTCGACAGATGCCAGGTGGAGCTGTCAGAGACTGTGATAGGGAAGGCTATTTCGGGCTTACATTATTATGAATTAATGATTATATTGAAAATACCAGTGTACCCCACGATTATTCATTCATTTATTCACTTGTTTATTATTATTATTTTTATTACAATATTGCTTATACCACGAGGCGGATTAATATAGGCTACTTTAGCTTGTTTCTGTATCGTTTGTAAATTATATCATGTCATTACAAATGCTTTCATTGTAATACATATTGTTTAAATCAACATCAAACACAAGTAAGTGTACGTAGAGACAGTGTGAAAACATTATCGTGTATTGTATATCTGCCTATTAACAAGCGTATTAGCTTCTAGACCACTGTACATATTGAAACAATATTGAATGCGAATGATTTCAATCGAGTCCATGTACTTGGAAGTAATCAAAATTTCAAACTGGCTTATTCTATTGTTAAGTTACGTGTTTTGTTTTTTAAGGGACAGATTGGCCATCCGTTGACCAATACTGGTACCTTAGTCTCCGAAACAGAGTTAAAAGTAATGGACGGAAAGATGATTCACATGTCATTTACTATTGATTATTGAATCTATAACAGAACCCATTTCTTAAATAAAATCTAAAAATCATTTTTGATGGGGGTTTCCCCTCTTTTAAAACCAATTGATTTTATAGTAAACTGCCGAATTTCCTTCTTCAGAACCCCTGATCCATATCACCTGTAGGAATGTTCAATATTTGCCTGATTAACCATATCTAACTATTTGGATGTCTAGTTAATGGAATATCTAACTAATATCAATGAGATATAACATTGGTAACTTGACTGTCTCTTTCAATTTAAATTAAATATGTCTCATTATTTATACAGACAGTAGCCTAATTAGAGACAGTTGAAAGCTAATTAACATAGTTTAATTAGATTAGGCTACTCAAAATAACTGTGACACATGTTTTAACTTGCTTTATTGTTTAAATTGTCAGAGAAACAACAGTATTTTCATTGTGCTGGTGACTGGTGACTGATCTCTACTTCAACTTGACAATAAAGTTATTACACCTTTCACCTTCTCACAGGTAGACATATAACAGGTGTTAAACCTTTCTTGTCCTAATTAGTTTTAACAATTTTTTGTCTCAATGCAGACAGCTCCTGTGTCATTAACAACTCATTAGATATCAGTGACTTTATAAATTAAATTAGAAAAGTTTAGTAACATTTTGTTTGTACATTAGGTGTTGTAAGAGATTCTTTCTTATAGAAGCACTGGCCTAGAACACAGGTAAATAAGGTCACATTAGGATATAGTCCTTGATGTCTTGCATTTCAAATGTTAATTTCATCAATGAAAGGGGATCTTCGTTTCAGAAGTCAATAAAAATAATTCAGTTTAAAGTGGTTAGGTTAGATTGTGACAGAGGAAGATTAGAATTGATGTTATAATAGTTTGTTGAGACTCCACGTTGGGAAATGTAACAATTTTACACCAGTATCGTTTGACTTTAATCCAGAATCAATTGAAAGGAGAGAAAACTAGATATAGATAGAATATTATCTGACTAGCTGAACTGAATTTCAAGTTTGACAGTTGACTGTATGTGATGCAGCATTAGAATTAGATAATCTTCACTGGCCTTATTCTCAAAAACTTAAATAAAAGATAAAAGCCAGATTTTAAGAAATACAGTAATCTGATTGGATAATAATACTAAATTCAGTTTTAGTGATTGACCAATCAGATAATTGCAACATTAAAATCATCTTGAGTTAAAACATTTTGATGTTTTGTTGTTTCAGACCTAACTAAAGAATGTTGATATAATAACTAATGAATGTTAGTATAATAACTTATGGAAGAGTGTGAAGTTAAACAAGTCAAGTTATTGAAATGTCGTGGAAACCAGTAGATTCTAGATCAAACTCTCATACCAATGTTCCAGGTAAAATTTTTATTTATTAACTCAATATGGAACATTAGTCCTAATCCTTAATTGATTAAAGGAATTGTAAAGAGGTTTTCGAAAAATTGATGCTAGCAGTGTCACTGATACACTTAAAAAATTTAGAAAACCTCTTATTAACTACTTTAGAAGTCAAATGTCAATAATTAAAAAAAAAAAGAAAATGATGACAAGTTTGATTTAAAGATTCAGATGAAAATTTGGTCAAGCAAGAAGGGGAAGAGATATAAAAACTTTGCGAAATGTTAACGTAAACATTTAAATAGTTTTTGCGTATATTTTAAATTTGAACTTTTAGATAAGTTAAAGGGACAGGTTTACCATCTGTTTGACCAATCAGACTCAGAAACAAGTATTTTTTAGCTAAGTTAATCAGTAATATGTTCACAGCTAAAAGTCGAATTTAAGCCTTGAAATCCGTGTGTGTACAGAATTATCCGTGTTTGAAAGTTTCTTGATACTCTGCCATATATAGAAAAAACATCTATAGGAAGTAAAATTCCTAGTTTCAGATTTTTTTGAAAGAATTATGTGATTTTCTTACAATTCTAGTATTTCTGAAGCTTACATATCAAAACACAAATCAACCCCCAAAAAATCAAATTTGATGTACGGTATATAGTTTTCATGAATTTGAGCACAAAATCTTTAAACATACTTAAAAAATCAGAATTCCCCTTTAATCATTATTTGTTGTGTTATTTACAGATTATGAGAAAATGCTACATAATCCCCATTATTCAGGTAAGTTTGTTTTATTTTATTACAGAAAACAATTCTATTTTTTTACATGCTATTTAACAAATTCAACAATACATCATACAATCTTTGTCTAATACCCAGTGGCTGATACTAAGGGGGAGCTCCCCTCGCAGTCTGAAAAGCAAGTTTTTTCAGGCAAAAATCTCAGAATTAGAAATTTTAATCTCAGAAATTTTGCAACTCTCAGACGTAAACCTGGCTCTGCCACTGCTAATACCTTGACTGTAACAGCCACCTTTCTGTATTATATCTTCAAATGTCAAGTTCTTACTAATTTCAACTTATACCTTGACTTCAATAGCCACTAATCTTGTATCACAGAAATTTGTAAATGCAGTGATTTGATTGGATTTTACGTTAGTTAATACAACCAATCATAGCTCTTGACAGAAAGACTAAATAATAAGCCATTTAAGTTAGTCTTTCTGTTCAGGGCTCTGATTGATTTTATTTGCTGGCAAAATCCAATAAAATGGCTGCATTCTATGATACAAGAATAGTGGATGAAGAATGAATCATGTGACTAACTATTGGAGTGCAGGCCTCTTGAACATAGGTCAGTTTGATTTCACTGCCATTCAATCAAATTTCTGCCCTCTCCAAACTAACGCAAGAATTTTGTGAAGCACAACAAATGTTCTAATACTTCCTAGAATACATCTTTTGTTCTAATACCTATATTAAATATAAACACTAATAAAAAACGAAAAGAAAGTTTGGTCTAATTTTATTTAATGATTTGAAATAATATATTACAGGTTGGGGTGAAAAAGAAGACAATGTACATCCTGTTAGATCCCGTAGTCCACCAACCAGTCAATATCACCCCGAAAACACAACCCACGAACCTAGAATTTATCAACCATCTAAATATAACCTAGTGTCGGGTGGAGGAAGTCATTATGATTCTACGTATCGAGATTACAGTGCCCCTACCCGCGAGGGAACTGTACAGTATTTATCTAGTGATGGATATGAGAAAGTAGGACACAAGACGGACTACGGTTTTAAAACATTGCCGTCATATCAAAGTGAGGTTCCTCACCAAACTTCCAGTTATTCTGGAGGGCATAATTACCGAACTTTACCGCTACGTTCAAACCCAAACGATTTAGTGTACCGAACTCCTGTTAAATCATCAATACATGAAGAGAGAAACCATCCCCCGGCCCAGGGATACGTACATCGTGATGATCACCCTGGTACTAGTCTCCACTCTACCAGTAACCTACGTCACTCTACCGGAGATCTACGTCACTGGCAACAGTTACATCAAGAACAGCTATTACATCAACATATTGAAACTCAGGTAAATTATTTTAGAATTTGGTCTCAACAATACCACTATTGGTATGTAAACGCAATTGATCTGGTGATAAACTGAATAAATGACAAAATCAATTATGTATGTTTGTGGTATGATCAATTGTGTAACTATAGATATATCACATTTGTTTTTCCATATGTATTTCCCTTCACCTTAAATTTTAACAGAATCATCAACTTCAAATAATGTCATCTTGTTTTTGTTTCCATGGTGTATGAATACATGACCTAATTTGAGTAGTTATTAACCTGTAAAACGTGTTTATAATGATTTTATGAACCTGTGAGAACAGTTCTGTTGTGTGATAAGTCTCTGATAAGGGGCCTGATATAGGAATTAACCTAGTTATCACCTGATTGATTATTATATAAGTTTGTATCTATTACAGGCGTTGTATGATAAACCAGCGTCTGTCTCTATAGATAATTTATTTAAACAACTCAGTTTAAAAGAGGAAGATGTGTCACGCTGGGAGCCGATACGACGAGCGGCAGACGGAATAATACAGGAGAAAAATATGATCATTGAAAAGTAGGTTTTATTCTGTCTTCAAAGTCTTACATCTTCTCTGCATAATAATAATAATAATAATAACTTTATTAGAAACTCAGTTGTACAAGACAATCTTCCCTAGGATCTTTCTACATCTACAATAACATATTTACAAAATGATAAGGTAATAAAAATAGAAAATAGAAATAAAATAGAAAATGAATGATGAAAATTAAGGGTCACATTCAGGTGATTGAAATATATGTAAAAAGGAAATGAAATAAAAGTAATTTTTACAACATTAAAGATAATAGGAAATTTTAAAATAATTCTAGTCACTCTTATTATCATAGTTCCCTTTTCAGTCCTGTTTTAAAACATTCTACACTGTTAGATTGTTTATATACAGGAGTTAAACGCTTTGAGATTTTCAGACAACTGACCTATATTCAGCCTGCGTCCCTACTGAAGTTACTTAGAGTTAAACGATATGTGATTTTCAGACAACTGACCTATATTCAGCCTGTGTCCCTACTGAAGTTACCTAGAGTTAAACGCTTTGTGATTTTAAGACAACTGACCTATATTCAGCCTGCGTCCCTACTGAAGTTACCTAGAGTTAAACGTTTTGTGATCTTCAGACAACTGACCTATATTCAGTCTGTGTACCTGTGTAATATTGACTATTTATGTTTAGATTAAAGAATCGTATTCTACAGTTAGAAGAAGACTGTAGTTTAAATGAGACAAGATTAAAACATGCTCTAATTAATCAAGATGATACAGGTGATACATTACATCATAAAATACAGGTAATATCTTTATTCTTATATCTTATAATAAAACTAAGTACTAAGAATATATTATAAGTTGTATTATTCTCTACACACGTCGAATTGAAGGCTCAAAATTTGACAGTGAACTGTGAACACTTTTACTGATTGGCTTAGCTAATGTCCCTTCAAGTGAGTTAGTATTTCATAATGAAAAGTGGTATCAGGTGTCCAGAAGAGTTAGCTTCCCCTGCCTGGCACAACACCTCTAATGTTGCTCAATATTTCACACAGTATTATCCTTTATTTAGCTTATACATCATATATATATTTGAGAGTAGGGCTTTAATTTCTATCTACTGTATTTTCTTGTTTTAGACTCGTTACTCT